GAGAGAGAGAGAGAGAGAGAGAGAGAGAGAGAGAGAGAGAGAGAGAGAGAGAGAGAGAGAGAGAGAGAGAGTTCACCTGGCGCAGACGAACAATGCTAGTGTTCGAGTTATGGGGGAATAGGAGGTGAGTGTTGACAAGGAGCAATTCAACAGGAGCCGATTCTTCGCCATCGCTGGCATCACTGCCTGCATCGCTGCCGTCCTTCATTTTCACAGGCATTGTAGCGCGCAGCCGAAACAGCTGTGCAACCCTATCGCCGTAATCGTTGAAGAGCATAGCCCTGGAATCCACCACCTGAAGTCGATCCTTCCGAATTGCCGTCAAAAGACCTGCACCTCGTTCACAAGCACAAGGAGAAAGAATGCATGCACCTGCTGTCAGCCACGCAATCACCTGCCGCGACGGTGATACTCCGCGCCAGTTGCTCATGAATCCGGTCAAGACATGGACCAAGTTCATACCACACATCTCAAGGAATAGCTGCCGTGCAAACAGGCCTTTGGCCCAGGTCAGGTTAATGTAATTTACCACATACTCCGGCATAGGGGCAAAATACATTCTGTCAATTTCTGTGCTATTTTGTGCTATTATATGTCACCTGATCTCTGCTATTCTCTGCTATTCGCTGTGCTATTCACTGTGCTATTCTCTGTGCTATTCTCTGCCTTATCCGCCATTCTCTGTGCTATTCTGTGCTATTCTCTCCTAACTTTGGCACAGAAGCATTGACATGCAGAGGAGCACTTTCCTCAAGGGTTGAACTACCTGGCATGGACTCTGCATGCCAACAACGCACCTTGTCCTTTTTTTTTTCCTTTTTTTTTTCTTCGGTACCTTGTCCTTATCACTGTGGCACGATGGTTAAATTTTGTGCGCCGTTGGTTAGCAAATGGTTGAAACCATACTTGCAAGCGGACGCCGTCCGCGGGTGGTTCTGCACGTGCGGCAGACCGCCGGACCGGACCCGTGCGCCCGACGACCAGTCACGCCCCCCCCCCCCGCCCAAAAAAAAAAAAACGCCCCCGTTTGGTCCGGTCCGGGTCCGTCTGGTCCGGGGGGAGGGTGCCGCACGTGGCAAAGCGGACCAGACCGGACGCTCGTCCGGTCCGTCTGCTTGCAAGTATGGTTGAAACTTGAAACGCACGCATGCACACATACAAAAAATTGAACAGTTCAACACTTTCATTTTGTAATAAATTTCCAGTTATAAATGACTTTTTAAAGTTTTTTTCACTTTTTTTTTTCCAATAAACATGTTACTATTTCATAGGCTACTTGGCTCGCCCGGCAGTTCATTCTCTTTTATTAATTGATCACTTGATTAAAGCAAAATTGATTCAATTCAAAAAAATCATCTCTATCCTATCTCTTTTATCTATTGATTAATGTTTTTATAAATATTGAATTTGAATTGCGTAAAAAAGTGAACTTGGGCAAGTTGCCCGGGGGTCACCTGCACGGGGCACCCCATGCAGATAAAAAATAGCCCCTTCCTTTTTGTTTGGAGGGGAGGTGGAGATTTTCTGACCATGGTCAAAGGAACCCAAATCTGGGCTGCTTTCGGCTTTCGAGTGTTGGCTGTCAAGGGGTAGGAAGGGGGGTATTAATTGGTTTTCAACTTTTAAGGGGCTAAGGGGGTTAAAGGGGAGTAGTACGGGGTACCTTAGTCTGACTCTGTTATTTTTCTTTTTATCTTCAATTCCGTGAGGAAATCGACGCGACCCTCAGCCAAAAGTCGTTTCTACTGCATTTCGACACAAAAAAAAAAAATTCTCGAATTTTTTTTCTTCTTCTTCTTTTTTTTTTTTTCTTTTTTTTCTTTTTTCGGTGCTGCGGCTGCCCGGAACCCTGCTCGGGGTTCATGCCCACCGAGGCACTCATGGGTGTATCCGGGCACAAGTTGGTGCACGGGCACCCCGGCAAACAGCCTAGACTATTTTAGTATTTCTAGATTTCATATATTGTCACAAGAATATCAGAGCGCAAATGCGAAAAAAAAAAAAGAAAAACAGGAAAAAATGAATTCAGTTTTTTCTTCTTCTTCCTTATAACTCCCCCTGTTCAGAACCTCTTGCGTACAAGGCCGCCCACGTGGATGTAGGTTGAGCGGCGGCTGCCCCCACCCCCGTGTGTCATATCGACCCACTTGCACACAGCCCAAAGGCAAAGAGGCAAAGAAAAGAGGAAGGGAACAGCCAAATAATATAGAACAGGGGGCAACAAAACAGATCCCAGATGCCAAGTCCCACATGCAAGCGCCGCCCCTGCCCACGGGCCAAACGACGGGACAAGACCAACCAGGATGTCAAGCATTCTTGTCTGCAAAAAAATCAAAAAGAACCTGGAGGACCGGTATAAAAAACAATCCCGGATGACAATTATGTATATTTTATTATTCTTCCTATGCACCCTGCAAGTTTTTAATCCTTTTTAGCTGCTATATAGCCTAGAGCTTCTTTTTTTTTTTTTTAGCTTCTCACAACCGATTTCTCAAATAACCTCCTCAGCGGTCCCAGCAGACTGTTTTGTGCCCCACGCACAGTAGCTCGCCCGACATCTCCGCTGGCCCGACCCCCCCCCCCCCCCCCCCCCCCCCCCCCCCCCCCCTTTTTTTTTCAAAAGATCCCTTTTTCAGCTACACCAGACCCAATTTTCCAAAGACAAAAAAAAAACGATGACGTCTACCTGGAGAGAAACCTATTCCATGAGCCTTCCAAAACAGCCAGCACAAAAGAAGTGTAAATGCGAAAAAACAATCAAGCCACATCACAGGCAGTTCCTACTGCAGAAAATCACCAGGCTCGTAACAATCTGCAGACGGCGTACGGCTCCCATAACCATCAATGTTTCGTACGGACACCCATACACACACACCCTCCTTACATCCCTTCTCCTCCGTCGTTTCCATTCTACCACTTCTCACCTAGTTTCTCTTCCAACACGCTATCCCTCACAACGTCTCTTATCCCCCCCTCCCTCTAAATGGCGTGCAATCCCCCCACTACATCTCTTCGCCTTCCCTCTACGCTCTAACCAGTTCAGCCTCAGCCCCTCTCGAGCTTCCCTTCCCTACCTCCCTTCTCCTCCGCCATTTCCGTCGCACCACTCTTCGCCCAGTGTCTATTCCGAAAGGCTATGCCTCACAATGTCTCTTATCCTCTCCTCCGTCTAAAGTTCTAAACAGTGAACAATCCCCCCACTACCTCTCTTCGCCTACACTCCAACCAGTTGATCCCCTCTAGAGCTCCCGAACACACGCTCACACCAATTCCCTTTCTCCCCCTAAATCCTGTCCCTCACTCTCTCAAAAAAGGCAGCTACCACCACCATCCCACCCGCTGCTTCCCTACAGCTCTCTATGGTTCATTCCCTGCTTTGAAATTCGAATAGCATTCGAGATGGTAAACACTCCTTGCAATCTCCGAACGTTCTCTGAGCCTTCTCCTCAGGTGATGAACAATGAGCATCGCAGAGAAAAACAGCATCGATAAACGACCTCCACGGTTCCATCTCGTCTTGGCAGCAACTGCCCGCCTTTGCTTTGCGCAAACTTGTCATGAACCCGACCAAGCCTCATCGCTCAAATGTGGGCACTACTACCAGCCTGCTAATGGCTCTTGCTTCACAGGGCAGGTCTCCTCCCTCGCTCCCCATCCTCACACGCTGTTTACTCTCCATCACCTCCTCTTTTCACATAATGTATTGCTCCCCTCCTTTTCAGCTCGTATGCAAGACTGTCTTCGTTGATTTTCCCTGTCTGCCTTACCCCCTCATTGCCCTCTTTCTCGCTGATGTGTCTATTTATTATGGAGAATGTATTGCCTGAAAAACACTTTCTCTTTTCTGAGCTTGCACGGCGTAGCAGCAGAAAGTACCTCAGGGATGACTTCAGGACATCACCCGCAAATGCAGACAGCTCCAGCTTCTGTCTTTGATTGGACTGAGCGAAATAGTTCTATTGAAACAGCTGCAATCTTTTTGCCGCCATGCTTGAGCAGCTTGTATGCATCTCTGGCAGTTTGCTAAATCGCAATTCACTTTTTACGCTTCTGATTGGTTACACGAGGTAACCGTCTTTCGTTGCAACGCACGGGGTATCAAAACTTAGATCCCATTCTCTAACAGGCGATGCACTTCTTTGCGCGTTTTACACACGGTTTACACAGACTTTACACACACACAGACATGAGAGACAGAGGGGAAACATGAACACCAGGAAGAAAGCGATCATTGAAACAGGTGAGAGCAAACGTGTTGGGCACAAGAGCATGAGTATGGAGGAGAGGAAAGGAGAAAGAAGATGGAGAATGCAACACCGCTTTGGAAACGCTGGAGAGTGGAGTGGGGAGAGGGGAGGGAGTGGCGGGAAGAAGAGGAACGCAGAAATGTGGTTAGTGCAAGCAGGAAGAGCAGGCATAAGGAAGAGAGAGTATTAGAAAAGGAGAAGCGAAGCTTGATGATGGCAGCCTACCATCCCCTCTGTTGTTGGTTCTTTCCAACTTGTGCAGCTCATAGCCGGCTGCACCGAGCTGGCTCTCGTAGAGCTGAACAAGCTCCTCATTGCTCAGCCAGAACTCCTACGCAAATCAATCAATAGGTTCCATGACAAGAAAGCCAATTCAATGCCACAGGATGGTGATGTGTTATTTGATGAACAGACCTGCTGCATGGTTAGTCACGGGTAGTGTGACATGTCGGGGGACCTGGCCACACCGGGGGTGTCGGCATGGCCCCGATCCTAGAGTCAACAAGTGAAGAGAACAACTGAATAAAATGCAGCGGAAGTCCGAAGACAATCAATCTGACTCATACGACTCAGAACTCGGACAATCCAATCATCATCACCTCTTGCAATAGCAAGCAAAGGCTAGCATACATAGAAGAAGGTCCCTCCTTGCACGTACATACACATGGGGGTAAAACAATACGTTGATGAGGGGAGGAGAAGAGGCCGAGTAAGGGGTAAGAAGAAAGAGAGAAAATGAAGAGAGAGAGAGGGAGCCCGGATATATCAGCCCCATGATATTAGTGTCCCTCTACTCCCAATCGCTTCCGAATACAATGTCAAGTCTGAACCAAGGAGAAGTCTCCCCGCCATGTCTCTGATCTCTCTCCTGAAAGCCAGAAAGGAATGGAAGATATGGAGGGCAGGAGCAAACGACGAAGAGGTAGAACTCTCTCTCTCTCTCTCTCTCTCTCTCTCTTGCGTTCTCTCTCTCTCTCTCTCTTTCTCTCTCTCTCTCTCTCTCTCTCTCTCTCTCTCTCTCTCTCT